GAGGGAGAGGGAGAAACTCAAAGAGAGAGAGTGTGGGACTTTTGTGGCAGGTGATTCAGAAGGAGAGTGAGGGACTTTAAGGGGAGGTGATTCAGAGGGAAAGTGAGGGACTTTTAGGGGAGATGATTCAGAGGGAATGTGAGGGACTTTTAGGGGAGGTGACTCAGAGGGAGAGGGAGAAACTCAAAGAGAGAGAGTGTGGGACTTCTGTGGGAGGTGATTCAGAAGCAGAGTGAGGGACTTTTAGGGGAGGTGACTCAGAGAGAGTTGGAGAAACTCAGAGGGAGAGTGTGGGGCTTCTGTGGGAGGTGACTCAGAGGGAGAGTGAGGGACTTTTAGGGAAGGTAACTTACAGGAAGAGTGAGGGAATTTTAGGGGAGGTGACATACAGGGAGAGTGAGGGTTTTCTCAGGGAGGTGACTCAGAGGGAGAGTGAGGGACTTTCAGGGGAGGTGATTCAGAGGGATAGTGAGGGACTTTTAGGGGAGTTGACTCAGTAGGAATGTGAGGGACTTCTGGATGAAATAGTTCAGGGGAAAGAAGAGAGCCTTATGGTGAGGGAAGACATGGGTAAGAATGGAGTCCTGCTTGGTGAGGGCACACAGGAGCGATCAAGTCAGGAGCTCCTGCATCAAGGGTCCAGCATTAGCAGAGAAAGGGAAGGACTGCTGAGTGGCGTGAGAATAGCAGATAAAGCTCTGAGGCCTTGAAGAGACAGGGCCCAAGGCCAATCTTTAATGGGGCCAGGGTACCTGGGGGTCTGAGAAGAACACAAAAGCCTGATTAGGCTTTGAGTTAGACCACTTTTTGTGGTCCTCTCCCTTATTCCTGCCTCCCACCACCTTCTCAGCTCCATCTCTGATACCAAAGAACTGGCCAGTCCAAGGGAAGATCCAGATACAAAACCTGAGTGTCCGCTATGATAGCTCCCTGAAGCCAGTCCTGAATCATGTCAATGCCCACATCTCCCCAGGGCAGAAGGTCAGTGCCAAGCCCTAGTGCTGGGGAAAATAGGTCGGAGGGACAGGGAGGGAAGCAGTGGGGGAAGGGGAGGAGAAGAGGTGAGTTCCAGGGTCACATGACTTCCAATCAAGGTTCAGTCCTCCACCAGCCTTAATGCTCAGCTCTCTTGGTCTGGAATCCCACAGCCTCCCTCCCCAGACTGCTTTAGGGCTTTAGTCCAACGTACATACTCACCGGCATTGGTGCCAGACCTTGTGGTAGCCTCAGAGGGTCTGGTGTGGCAACCCCCTGCTCCCTTTCCTTTTATTGAGGCTTGAGACACTTGACATAAATGTCCCCTGTAGCAAGAGAAAAAGGAATGAGGTATTTCCTAGGATCACCTCTCTCCCTGAGATGAGGAAACTTGAGCCTAGGGTCTCTCTCTGTTCCTATCTATCTCACTGTGACACTTGCTCTCTCTTCTCTCTCTCTCTCTGTCTCTCTCTCCCTCTCTCTCTCTCTCTCCGTCTCTCTCTCTTCTTGCCTCTGTCTCTATCTTTGCCTGTCTCTCTCCTTGTCTCTGTCTCTGTTTCTCTGTCTCTCTGTCTCTCTCTCTGTCTCTCTCTCTCTCTCCTTGTCTCTTTCTCTGTCTTTTCCCCCATCACTCTCTGTTTCTTTTTAAACTCTATCCACAATAAAAGTGAGAGTAAGGTAGCTCCTTTTGTCCCATACCAGAGATGCTCTCATAAACACATAACCCAGGACAGGGAGGACTGATATGTTCCCAAACCAGCTTATTTGAAAACCTAGGCACACACAGATATTCACAAGTACATACATACGTGCATATACACACACAGATGCATATACACTTTTGGGGGGGGGGGGTCCAGACCTATGATTTCATTAATGAAATGAATTCCTATTGAGGAAACCCCCTCCACTGATGCAGAACAGCAGCTTATGATGTTAAAGTTGCCGAGGGCACAGAAAAGTTAAGTGACCCACAAGGCCAGTACGTGTCAGGGGTAGGACATAAACCCAGGTCTTCCTGACTCCAAGGTCAGTTATCTATTATTCCATATTGTCCTTCTATGTGTATGTACATATGAATACATACAAATGTGTTTACATGGACATACTTTCATATTTATACAGAGAAATGCACTGTGTATACACATAAATACATGCAAATGTTTACACATATATATAGACATATAGACATACACAGATAAACAGAGGCTCACACAAAATCATGCATGGATATACACAATTATAGGCACACAAACAAGCAGATGCACAGCCCCTCCTGGAGATATCTTCCTCACCTTCTTTAGAAAACAAGCTATAAGCCTCCAGTCCATCCTTGGCCGAACTCTTCAGAGAGCCTCATCAGAGATAGAAGGTAAAATTGCCTACCTTCCCCTGGGAGGACTTGGTCCCCAGCTTCTCCCAAAGCTACTCCTTGGGTCCTTCCTATTGCAGATTGGGATCTGTGGCCGAACAGGCAGTGGAAAGTCATCCTTCTCTCTTGCCTTCTTCCGCATGGTTGACATGTTTGAAGGTGGGTCTTCCTTCCCAACCCAACACTCCCTGACTGCCCTTCATCACACAGAGCTCGCTCCTTATAGAAAGGGCAAATTCTCACTGCTGTACCCCTGTTCTTAGAATCACTCTTTCACAGTGAGTAGCTGTGTCCATTTGTCTGTCTGTCTAACTAGGTAATGGATGCTCCAGGTTGCATGTCAGGTTTGAATGTTTCTATGACACTCACAGCCTCAATCCAGAGGGTCAATCACATGGCCTGCCCCTGCTTCCAGCTAGGTCCCTTTTACCCAGGCAAGTTGACCCCCCAGTACTTGGCACAGTCCCCCTGGGTGAGTTGACCCCTGATTAATACAGGGAGGATCGTCATCGATGACATTGACATTTCAAAGCTGCCCCTGCAGACCTTGCGATCCCGACTCTCCATCATCCTCCAGGACCCCATCCTCTTCAGTGGCACCATTCGGTGAGTAACACCCCAGGGGAGGCCCAGGAAAGACCAGAGATGCTACCATAGGGGGAAGAGCTCCCCCCCCAGCCCAGGAACCTCATGGTGTGCGCAATGTTCTAAAATGGACCCAAGAGATTTCTAATTCTAGGGTCAAGCTGTGTAACCTTGGAAATGTTCCTTCTCTTCCCTAGAGTTTAGTTACCTCATCTATAACATGAGGTCATTGGACTACAGCACTCTTTCCCAACCCAAAGTATGCCGCAGACAATCTATATTGCCCTCCACAGCCTCAGTGGCCAAGAGAGTGGGAGTCAAGGAAAGAGGGAGTAGGAATGAGACAGCAAAAAGAAGAGCCAGATAGAAGAAGGAGAAAAAGAAAAATGGGAGATCATTTTTAAGATTTTAACTACAACTTTGTAGATTTTAACTACATTTTAACTTTGATTTTTACTCCCACAATTGAAAAAGAAAAGAAAAAGAAAGCCATTGTAACAAATATTCACAGTGAAGCCAAATAAATTCCCACATTGGTTATGTCCAAAAATCTGACTCATTCTGCATCTTGAGTCCATCACCTCTCTGTCAGGAGGTGGCTGGCATGTTTCATCACCATTCTCTGAAATCAGGGTTGGTCATTGATCAGAGTTCTTCAGTTTTTCAAAGTTGTTTGTCTTTAACACTTTTGCTATTGTATAAACTGCTCTGCTGGTTCTTCTCACATCATTCTGCATCAGTTCATGCAAGTCTTCCCAGGTTGCTCCGAAAATGCATTGATTGATTTGCCCAGGTCCACACAGCTAGTATCTGAGGCAGGATTCAAACTTAGGTCTTCCTGACTCCAAATCCAGTGCTGCCCTGTTGGTACTAGAGTAAGGTGGCTCTCCTGGCTAAAATTAAGCCTTTGGATGATGAGAGGTTTGACTTCAAGCTTTGTTCCACTCCCTAGGACTATTCTGCTGTTTTTCAAATGGAAAGTAGCGACTGCCTACTCCCTGCCACTGCCTACAACAACTATCTCTCTAGTCCTCAGGTCCAAACTCCCAACCTCTGGGGCCCATGTCCCATCAGATACCAGGACTCTTCCTCCAGGTCAGCTAAGAGGCTGGACTAGATGGTTTCTGATGCCCCTTCCAGCCCTGAGATTCTGTGCCTTTGTGATCTATATCAACTATTAAGTTTTTACTGAACACTTATCGAAGGTTCCAAAATATAGATCTAAAGTCACAATTTTCAGGTTTTTGCACTCCTTCCCCCTCCACACACACACACACACACACACACACACACACCAATGCCTAACACTGTGCTGATAGTCATTCATTGATTTGCTCATTCAGCAAAAGTCTTCCAAGGACCTACCATGTTGGGAGACGCTGTGGGGGGATCAGAGGTGCCAAAGATGAATTAAATAGTTCCTGCATTGAGGGAGTACACAGCCTCATTGGAGAGATGAGATATGCACACCACTTGTCATATGCAGGCAACATGTTGACCTTTAGTGTGAACCCCAAATTTCTAACCTATCAGCTGTGAAAAAGGGTGAATGGAAAAATGGCAGTTGCTTTAAGCCCCAAGGCCAAAAGGACTCTCAGGAAGAGAGTCCTGACCCCTCCACGTCAGAGGCCACTGCTTAGGGCTTCAACTTAGCCAGTTCAAAAACCAGAACAGTGTTGTTCTGAGCCAAGTAGAAGGGAAAGGAGAGGCTGAGAGATCAGCAGCAAGCATTCAAAGAACAGCCAAGATGGCAGGGACCTCCATGGTCATCTACCCAAGCAGGAATCCCCCTGACAACATCCTCATTGAGGGGTCTCCTTGAAGACTCCAGTGATAAAGAAATCATTCGTCCAGAGGCCCCCCCATTATACTTCAGGTCAATTCTGATTGTGAGCAAGTTTTTTTTGGTTGTATCAGACTGAAATCCAGCATCTCTGTGACTTCTGCCATGGGGTCTTAGTTCTGCCCTCTGGAGCTTAACAGATTAAGTTTGATCTCTGCTCTGGGGTTCAGTGAAACAAACTTAGTTTCTATTTTCTATGATGACTCTCTTCAAATGCTAGAAGACAGCTACCATGTTTTCCACCTAAATTTTGGCTGCTCCAAGCTGACCATATCCAGGTCCTTTAACCAGTCCTAATGTCACAGTCTCCAATCTTCATGATGCCATGAAAAGATCAGGAGATTTAGAGTGAGGATCCAGAGGTTCTGAGAGCAAGCCCTAGTGCTGTGTAACATGGGGCAAGGCCCTTCAACTTTCTGGGCTTCAGTCACTTCCTTTGTAATTGAAAGAGCTGAACTAGAGGCATGAGTTATGGGTCAAGAAGGTAAAAGAGGGTCTTCTCCCGGGAGAGGGGGCCTGGAGGATCACTTCCAGATCTAAATCTATGACCTGGTCATAGATTATCCTGGTCACTCTCCTCTGAATGTGTGCCAGTTTGTCTATCTCTTCCTAAAATATAGTGCCCAGAACTGAGCACTCCAGATGGGGTCGGACCAAGGCCCAGAAGCCCCTCCCTGCTGATATCAGCTGGAAGAGAATTCCTGATCTTGGGGCAAGATCACTCATTATGTTCCTAGCCCCAGCCCTGGCCCCATTCTTTGCAGTGCCCTTGGGTTGGGTGGGGCTGGGTCAGGCTGCTCACTGGCCATTCATTTGGATCTCTGTGCTGCTCTGCAGGTTTAACCTGGACCCAGAAAAGAAGTGCTCAGACAACACCCTGTGGGAAGCCCTGGAGATCGCCCAGCTAAAGCTAGTGGTGAAGGCACTGCCCGGGGGACTAGGTAACTGTGCCCACCCCTACTTCCTGCCAAGATGGGGAGGAATCCTAGTTCTACAGGGGCTATGCTGAGTCAGTCTACATGAAAGCTTGGATACAGATCCATCTACTCCCCTACAAATGTCTTACACATACATAGCCCAAATCTTCCCTATAATAACAACTAGAACTCTGCTTCAAAGCCTGGGAGCACCAGGAACATCAAAGAGACCTGGGCTTCCTGATAGTAATGAATGAACTGTTCATATTGATGCCACAACACTCCTGGACCCATTGTTTCTCCTACCCCATTTCATACCATTCATCTATCTATCCCTGGAACCCTGGGAATGGGGAGAAGGCAGTGGACTGAGTAGTGTCTCCATATTACATACAAGGCCAAGAGATGGAAAGTACATACCTTAAGCCAAACATTAATAGAATCAAGACTGGCTTTGCCCATAGAACAGCTGGACCCTCAAACATCCAATCAATTAATCCAGAGTTAGTACAGCCAGATAAAAGGACGGGCTGGATGAAGGTGTGCTTCAGGAACAACTATCTCCTTTCTTTCCCACATCCCAACACTACCAAGGACCCCCAAAAGCAACATCACACCACTTCTCAGTGACATAAAACCACCTAGTGACCAATGATCAACCCATGAAAAACATACATATTCATTCATTCAGCAGCATTTATTAAGCACCTGCTCTATACCAGGCACTGAAGATGCAAAGACAGAAATGAAACATTCCTTGCCCTCAAGGAGCTTACATTCTATCAGAGGAGACAACACATGCATCTATAAGTATATACAAGCCACATATAAAATAGATATAGTACTTGTGTAGAAGGAGGGCACGAATAATTGGGGGGTGGGTCAAAAAAGGCCTCTCATAAGGGAATGGCACTTAACTTGAGCCTTGAAGGAAAAGAAGATGGCAATTCTAAGAAATGGAGGTAAAGTCTCTCTCTCTCTCTCTCACACACACACACACACACACACACACACACACACAGACACACACACACAGAGTCATTGCTCTTTTGCAGATGCCATAGTCACGGAAGGTGGGGAGAATTTCAGCCAGGGCCAGAGGCAGCTCTTCTGCTTGGCAAGGGCCTTTGTGAGGAAAACAAGCATCTTCATTATGGATGAGGCCACAGCCTCCATCGACATGGCCACGGTCAGTCTTGGGGGTCTAAGAGCAGTCCTAGATGGTGATGGTTGGGGAGTTGAGAGGCGGGGAGGGTGGGAAAGTTGTTATGCAAAATAACACTCAACCCATACTGTGGATGCTTAAAAACAGAATAGATGTATTGTAGAAATGAGATGGAGAAGAGAAAATGAGCCATAGTGTTCCAAGTTCATGCACACATGTATACAGGGATGCAGGCATGCTCCATGCCATTATTAGCTCTGCCTGGCACACAGTAGACCTTTGATAAATATCTGTTGGTTTATTGAATGATTGTTGATGAAACAAAGAAAACTAGCAGCCCTCAGTGCTGAGTAACCCCCTTCTACTTCCAGAGTGATGATTGTAAAATAGTGGAAGGTATTAAGTACTAAGACTTGCAGTTTTTTATGCCATCTGCAAAATTTAACCATAGGTACTATAAATGAGAGCTCTTCGCCCAATGACCATCAAATCGGCGTTAACCTTGGAAAACCTCAAACTCACCTCACTATCAATATTCTCATAGTACCAAACACTAAAGGGCGGTTGCAGGTGAATAGAAGGCTGGTTCACAGGTTCTTCTTGCAGAACTAACAAATGAATTAGGAGATTTGGTTTCGACGTGTGCTCAAAGTCATCAAGAAATATAATTTCATGGGAAGCTCATACATCTTCCCTATAATAACAACTCTTAAAGTACTCCTGTTAAGCATAAGCAAAAAGACTAGCATGAAACTGTGGTCTGTGCACCAACATTAATTGCAGAAGATGAAAAGGTAGAGAAAGTCTATGAAGAACTTGACAAGAGCCTCCAAACAAGTCAAGGAATACTTTGATACCTAAATATGAAGATGGACATAAAAGAGGGTGGCAAAAGCATGTTTGGACAATTTGACTCAGGTGTGAGAAATGAAAGAGGCCAAAGACATGCTGACTATCCAGAAGCCTTACACATATATGTTATGAATGTTTCCCTTTTCAATTTTTTTCAATTTATTGATGCCTTTTTTACATCACAAGCGTTTCCTGATACTCCCCACTCACCGCCTCCCTCCCCCACCATTGAATTCTCCTATTTAACAAAGAAAAAGAGTTAAGAATAACAAGGCAACCACACCTGACAACATATAGAGTACCCCATTTCCTCTTTACTGGCAGAAGGGCTGTGTGTTTCATCCTCTCTTCTTCAGAACTAAGATTGTTTATTGCAATTAATCTGAATTCACCTGCCTTCCAGTGCCGCTTTTTATGCTATAGTAGTCTGTATATATTGTTCTCTGGGTTTTGCTTGGTCAATATTTTATTCCAGAAGAAAATCTAACAAGAAGTGAACAAAATCAAGAGAGAAGAGGAGGAGGAGGAGGAGGAGGAGGAGGAGGAGGAGAAGAAGGAGGAGAAGGAGAAGGAGAAGAACAAGAACAAGAACAAGAACGAGAAGGAGAAGAAGAAGAGGAAGAAGAGAGAGAAAAGGAGGGTAGGAATTGACTATATTTTAATAGACAGGAAACAACTGGTTGCTTAATGTGGGAGTCATATCAGAATCAACTCTCTTTTGCAGTCTAGTCATCGACTAGTTAGATCAAAGGTCAGAATCAATATTGAATTAGCAAAAGGCCAAAGACATTGCAAACAACTGCAATAGTTTCTATTTGAACTATTCATACAAGTCACCAATGCTGGTGGGGGGGGGTAGGAATGGGAAATAGGAGAAGGCAGAGATTATCACCATTTCCTACAGAAGTTTAACCAATGTAAAAAAAAACTGTTGTTACAATTAAGAGACCAACAAGGCCTATAAACATTGATCTTCTTGACAAGACGAGAAACGGAAACCAAAGGAAACACTGGTTTAGAATACAGGCTCATTTATAAGACAACCCAGAGGAAGATGGTGGAAGACTGCAAGGATTGTCACTTCATAAAAAATTAAAAAGAATCAAAGTAGAAATATACCCACAGAAAACTTGGTATGAGACTCATAGGGTTATAGTCTCAGAGATCTAGAATTGGAAGGGTCCTCAGAAACTAGATTATCTATTTCAACCACTTCATTTAATAGGCAATGAAACTAATGCCCAGAAGGTTAAGTAACTTGCCCAAGGTCACTCTGACCCCAGCTCCAGAGAATTCTAACTGCCTGAGCCACGGTATCCTGAGTCTACATAAATGAAACTGGCAAAAGGATAATAAAGACAGAAAATGAAACAAATTTATCACCATTTCCTTAACAATTCATTTTTGCCCTCAATAATAGTGGAAGCGCTATATCTGGAACCTGATATTTCAGTCCCTGACATGCTGCATGACAAAGTAAGAACAACACTTAAGCAGCTGGACCAAACCAAGTATGTCTCCTCAAAATTCCATGCTTAAAAAAATACAACAGAAAACATTGAGAAGTTATTTTATAAACTATCTCAGGGAAGGGAAGATATCAAAAGAAAAGTTAAAAAAATCATAAACTATACTAACATTCAAAAAAAGAAGAATGGAGGCAGCTAGGTGGCACAATGGATAGAGCTCTGACCTTGGAGTCAGGAGGACCTGAGTTCAAATCCAACTTCAGACACTTGACACTAACTAGCTGCGTGACCCTGGGCAAGTCACTTAACCCTAATCACCTAAGCAAACAAAAAAAAAAGAATGAAAACATCAGTCACTACCCACCAATATGCCTACTTTCTCATCTTTAGGGAATCTTTTATGGGTATAATCTACATTCATATTGAAGGCATCCTTGATAAAAGTATAATAGTCAAGCTTTTGTAAAAAACTCTTGAGAAAAGAGTACATCTTAAGTGTCCTACAAGTGACTGTAAGATGCAAAGGATGCAAGAATCTTCTATTTGTTGTTTGTTTGTTTGTTCTTAAGTGTTTGACTTGGTAGAACAAAAAGCTGTCTTAAAGGCGCTCCTCCAACAGAAGGAGCAACATGCATCTGTTAAGATCACACAAATACAGCAGGGGGTTGTCCAGAGAATCCCTGATCAATTGACTCTACAAAAATCAACTTCTTGAAATTACAGGACATAAAGGGCAGGTAATAGAGACTATAATATGTAAGGATATGCCCCTTTCAGATTTAGAGGGCTCACTCCCTTAGACAGTATCTGTTAGATCAAAGCAAAAGCATTTTCTAAGTTGGATACTAAGAACAATAACAATGAAACTGAAATGCGTATGCTCTGGCCCTCTCCCCCAGAGCTGCTCTAGCTACATCTCCTCTCAGAGTTCTAGAGAGTAACCCTGAGGCACTGGGGTGTATCACAACATGTACCCCACAAACTTGGGCTGTTCTTTCCCACAAATACACACGTTGTCAGTGGAAAGATTATGTACATGTAGAGTTCACATGCACGTGTGTAGGGAATATAATATGTCCAATGTAACTTACAATCCCGGTCTTTCGGGACCCCCAGATCTTCTAGTGACGTCATCATACTACTCCTTTCAGGAAACAGTGTCTCAGTTAGTTATTCCACTAAGCCCCACAAGCCATCTCTGGGACTAAGGGAAAGGCTCCAAGGCTAGGCCAAGGTCTCTACTGGTTCTAGTTTCAGTCTCAGCTGACATCCTAGCCTTGAGCACTACAATATATATTTAGAAAAAAAACAGAGTCCACACCCTAAGACCGGCAGCAGTGTCAGCACTGGGGCCCGCTTTCTCCTGAGGAGGATCCGTCCTCTAGCTATTGACCTCATGAACTCCTCTTTGACTCAACTCCACAGCTGGGCCTTGGCCCTGCCCTCTACTGACCACAGTCTCCTACAGTCATATGCTTGTGTTGCCAGATTCCATTACCGGTGGCTGGGGATCAAGGAGGAAGAGCAGAGAGAAATCCCCTCCCCCTCCTTGCTGCACCCTAGATGAAGCACAGAAGAGAAAGTGCAGAGTGAGTTCTTCTTCCATAACTGGCTTATCTAATGTCAGAGCTGTCTAGTTTACTTTTTTAAAAACCCCCAGGTGTATGGTAGGTCCTTAGCTTCAGTTCCTGAGTCTTTCATGGGCAAATGAGCCACTAAAAATCTGAAAGGGGCCACACTCCTTACAAGGGGCAAATTCTACCACTGCGAGTCTGAAAGCGGTGCACCCTTAGATCCCATTGTCTCTGTTACCTTCCTCTTAATCTTGTAATTTCATCTAGTAGATTGGGAGGATTCAATTGATTAGGAGTCCTCTGATCAAACTCCAAATACACAAGATTCTTTGATAAATGAAATCACAGAGATAACATCATTAAATGCTTCTCTAATTATTAGCATCCACTCAGGCATAAAACAGACATACAGGAATTCCCCATAGATGATAAAAGTTTTCCAGAGGCTCTTCACAGAATTTGGGAGTAGAAATGGAACCCAGAAACCATCTAATTCAACCCATACATCATAGAAGTCCCCACTAGAACATATCCAACAAATAGTTGTCCAGAACCTACCCCAAACAGGGGAAATTCACCACCTCTCAAGGAAGGTCACCCAATTTTTGGACAGCTCTAATTGTTATGAAGTTGTTTTTTTTTTCTCACATCGAGTCTAGATTTGCCTCTTTGCAACTTTTCCCCATTTTTCTTGGTTCTGACCTCTAGGACCAAACAAAATAAATCTAATCCCTCCTTCATATGACAGCCCTTTAAATATTAGAAATCATATTTTGTTTGAGGATGGTTTTATACTGATTGAATCAAGTCCTAGAGCACTACAGGGCCCTTTGATGAGATCTATGAGTTCAAAAAAGATTACCTTAGCAATCAATATAGGAAAAACTAAATGGATGAAAAATGTCTATTGTCCAGTCTATGACATACAGTTAAATGGCCAGTCTATCAGTACAATGCACAATTAACTAGGCCCAAAATTGAATAAGACTAAAATGCATTTGAGAAAATGTTCAATGCTTTTAAGGATTCTCAAGCTGTCCCTTGACACAAAACTTCATCATTTTTATTCAGTTTTCCTCCATATGATGCCAAATCTTTGTAAATCTTGGAAAACCCAGAGGACTCAAAATTGAAGGCCATTCAAGTGGCCATGGAGAACTACAAGTGGACACAGATAGGCTGCAACATTTTTCCAATAATGGTTCACGCACAAGGAGGGATACAATTGAGAAAGTAGATTATTGTAAAAGGTGAGTTCATCATGTGGAAAGAACAAAGAATAAAAGATGGATAAATAATAGATGCTCTATTGATACCCACATAATGTAAAAGGACTCAAAGAAAGGCCTCCAACAAGGATGCGTGGATTCACTATGGAATATCTGCAGAAGATAATGAGCAAGAATCACAAAGAATGAGGAAGTATGGACAGGCTGGGCTCCATACCAACAGAAGAAGTGCCAAAACCAGTGAAATCACCAAGAACTAGCATGGCATGATTGAGAGCAGACCTTGCCAAACCAGCCTCCTTTGCCTTTTTTTGGACAGGGCTACTAGACAGGGCAGCTCAGAAAATAGTTTAAATGATGAACCCAGATTGGCACATGATGATAACTACTTCCTTTGCTGGCTTTAAAATTTTTCCAAAACCAAAGTCATTGGTCTATTGTTTGAAGAGCCTATCTTCTTCTGCTTTGCCTAAGTGGCACAGTAAGTAGAGTGCTGGACAGCTCCTCTTTAAATCTTGAGTTTGAATTCTGCCTCAGACACTTACTAGCTGTGTGACCCTGGGCAAGTCACTTAACCTCTCAAAGTTCCAGGTCACTCTCTAGGACTATAAGTTGCAGAGAAGGTGCTAACCTGCATTGACAGAGGTGGTTTCCCTTCTGGAGAGTTCCTTATACCAATGAAATCACAGCTGCAGACCCTAACCCTCCAAACTGTTACCAAATCTTACCCATTGTACCTTCATAATATCTTCTCTCCTCCGATACTGCCACCATCCCGGTACGTGCCCTCATCATTCCAGTCTTGGACTGTCATTCTATTATCTGTAGCTCTAGTCCAAAAATTCAAGTCCCATTCCTTCAAACGATCTTCTTTACCAACTGAATTATCTTCCCAGCTGCTCACTTCCCATACTCTCTTTTTAATCTTCTAAAGCACTGATGTCAAACTAAAAGAGAAATGGAGGCAGCCAATCAGTACATAAAGATCCCTGTGGGCAGTATACTGACTTAGCTTTAAAAATGTAATATTATCTGTGTTTAGTTGTGTTTTTATTTATTTTGTTAAATATTTTCCAATTACGTTTTAATCTTGTTTGGGTTCAGGGATGTTGTGCACTCAGGCTGCATGTTTGACACCTCTAAAAGCCCCTTCCTTTGATTGGCAGCCATGAGAGAAATACCACCTATGACCTTATGGTCTTCACTTTTCTGTCTAGGACTTCCTAATTCCTAAAGATAGTCTCTAGATATCTCCTGTCCATTTCATTTGTCTCCAGATGAATCTGTAGAAGTGGAAAGCAATCATCAGATTTGTCAAGTCTCGAGATTTTTCTGTGACATCCCAGATACATATGCCTCAGGAAATCAGTGTATTCCTTGATTATTCATGTCTAACTGATACATGAGCACCTCAGTATACCTTATTAGCACTCATCCTTTCTTCCTGCGGTCCTAACCTTAACCATCTCCTGGAGATGCCAGTGGTTCATCATCATTCCATGGAGCATAGGAAGTGGCTTCTTCCTCAGAATCCAGTTCCACCCTCTACAGAAAAAGCCTCAAGCCTATTGATCATCTCCAAAGGTTCAGTTGTCCTTCTTCCCCCATTATCCTTACTGTGACACAGTCTTCTACCTTCCAACCTCAAGACACATTTTTGGATAGCCTTTATATTTGGATTGCTCCTTATCCTTCTTTGTTTCCTTCTTGAATCATTTCCTCCATTCTTGCAAGGAATGCTTCATCCTCCCGGATAAGCTGCAGAGTAGATGGCTTCCCCCAGGCCTTTTGACATTCTCCTCTAATGGGGGGGGGGGGGGGGGAACCAGTGTGATATTTGTACATATGTTGTTGCTAATTGGTTCTCTAAAAAGCATAAATAGAGCACAATACCTGCGGCTCATGCATTTTTTATACCTACTGAAACTGATTTTCAATTCTCTATGGCTCTCTTTGTCAATTCTCCCCTATTACTTGCATGGCTAATTGCTCCTTTACTGCATGGGTCAGGAGTGGGGCAGGACTCCTAAATAAGGTTCATTTGTTTTGGGGGTTTTGGTTTGTTTTTGTTTTTGTTTTTGTTTACATTAAGTGTACCTGCCTTTTTTTCTCCCATTATTTAGCATTGATTGCACAAGTAAGTTTGAGTTTCAATTAGAAGATCAATAGCTCTTCTCATATGCTTCCTCTAAGGTCTTCTGTAGAAATCCAGCTTTCAACCATTTCTTGCCTCTTCCTTTCTCTTCTCTCCTCTCATCATTTGTCAGGTTCTTTGTGCTTGAACGCCTTCCTTTTTGCTCAGGTATGCGGGTGAAGCTTCCCTCCACATAACCACAATCAGTTCAGTCTCTGTTGACTTTAGAAATGGTTCCATGGTGGGAACAGTAGTGGACAAGAGGCAAGTAGGGGGAAAAAACAAGGTGGTAGTGATGGGAGATTGTGTCCATGAGATGCTTTCAAGCCAGGCCAGGACCACTTTCTGCTTAGTCTCAACCCTCTCAGGGGAATACAGCTTTCATCCTTTTTCCCACAGGAGAACATCTTACAGAAGGTGGTGATGACAGCCTTTGCTGACCGCACTGTGGTTACCATAGCGGTAAGGGGGCATGATGCACACAGCCTCAGGAAGGGAAAGCCCAGGGAGCATCTGGCTTGGGGGTGTGGTGGGGGCCATTAGAGAAACCACCTACATAAACCATCCCCCTGTTCTGACCACAGTCATGCACAAGAAAGCCTCTTCCTCCTCCCACACCTCTAAACCCCAACCTTGCTGCACCAAGAGATTCCATTTAGTTTGAGCCTCTTAAGAACAAGATAGAAGGCTGGTCTTGAAGCCAAGGAAACCTGGGTTCAAGTCCAATCTCTAACATACACTGGCTGTGTGACCTGAGCAATTCATTTAACCTCTTAGTGCTCTATGCAGCTCCCTAAGACTATCATTTGTTGAGAAGGTGCCAACCTGCGTTGGTACAGGGAGTTTCTTCACCTGGGAGTTCCCCATAAGTTCCCCAATAAGGGGAAAGGGCCAGGCATAGCCTCCCCAACATAGTCTCCATTTCACTTCTCCTACCCGTAAGGTGGGGAGGGGATTTCTGATTGGAGCCTACACTGTTTTGACTCAAGTGTTCCAATTCTCATTGGTATTTCTCATGGTTCTTCCTCCTTTATGCTCTCAAGGCTCCTCATTTCCCTGGCTCCCCAGGATGGCTGGGACAAGGATAAGGGATTGAGGTTGGCTTGTGGGTCCCTGGCCTGTTAGTAGGTTTCAGTTGACCCCTGATAAAGCATTCCCAAGTCTCTGAGCTCTGAAGGGTTCTAGTCCCGTTGACTAAGTCCCATTAACAACACCAATAATAATAAGGATGATAATAATAATTATAATAAATCAGTTAGTAAAACATTTTAATGTTGGCATAGGACTTTAGGTATGTTGATCTCATTTTGACCTCACAATAACCCTGTGAGGTAGATGCTATTGTTATCCCCATTTTACAGATAAGGAAACTGAAGCTGAAAGATTTGTCCAGAGTCATGCAGCTAAGTGACTGAAACAGGATTTGAACTCAGCTCTTCTTGACTTCAAGTTCAGCACTCAATCCACCGTTCCACCTAGTTGCTATTACCTCAAAAGCAGAGAGTATATAGAGATGATTAGTTTGTAATCATCTTGATCATTCCCAGCTATTCTAAGGGGGAGGTAACATGGATAGGATGGAAAAAAAGGTAACTCCAAAAAAATACAGAAAGCCCAGGTGACTTCCCTATTTCGTGAGTGAGGAGCCCAGTAGCCACACGAAGCAAGGTAGACATGCACTGCATTAGATTCTGATGCTGAATTTAAGTATCTAACTTGTGGGTAAGGAATAAAGAGACATCGTTAACAATTTACAAGACTCAGCCCTGCTTTGCAACTCTGGCTCCGTCACAGAATTCCCCTATCTTGTCAAGCCTGGCCCTCTGATCTTTGGGAAGGAGACATCCCCTTGGGAACAAAAGGAACCCCTGCCCCATGATGGCACACAAGCTTGAGTATTAGGGTACAGACTTGAGCTACGGGTTCTATCTTTCAGTTCCTAGTACAGATTTTTACTTATCTCTGCTGGTTCATCTCAGCTCCACTTACTGCCTCTCTAATCCTCCCTCCAGTCCTCATTCCCTGCCCAAGCACCCCAAGCCCATCTGTACCCCTTTTTCCCCATCCCTCCTACCCACTCATGCCTTTCTCTTCCAACACTGAATGCCTATTCATACTCTTGTTCCCATCACAACTATGGATACCCTCAGCTCTTCTTTGCCTTAGCATGGTCCCATCTGGGCTTTCTCTCCCCAGCACCGCGTGCACACCATCCTGAATGCCGACCTCGTGATTGTGATGAAGCGTGGCGCCATACTGGAATATGATAAGCCCGAGGTGCTGCTCAGCCGCCCAGACAGTGTCTTTGCCTCCTTTGTCCGGGCTGACAAGTGAGCTGTGCTGGAGTGATTCCAAGTGCCATTTTCCCCCTCTTTATCACCTCCTCCAACCTGGATTTTCTAGCTATGTAAATCATTTGTAAATAAAGAGATTAATTACTTCCTATCAGATCCTCCAGATTTCCTATGGGGCTCCTTCATATTCCTCTTCCTAATTCAGAATCCTGGTAACTTGGTAGCTACAGTTCCTAGGGGTGTGGCATCCTCACAAAGCATTAGCCTCTAACTAGAGAAATGCAACTATGCCTCAACTAATATACATATTACTTTGCATATGTAAAAGCATGAAATCATGCATAGAGAACTGGCCTCAAAGCAGGATTCAAATCCAACTTCTAATCCATAATGATGACGTGACCCTGGGCCAAGTCACAACCTCTCAGTACTCTAGGCAACTCTCTAAGACTTTAATTTGCAGAAAAGGTGCCAACCTGCATTGTGAAAGGAGTTTTCTCCTCTGGGAGTTCCCTATACTACTGAAATCATAGGTCTACTTTCTATTCACTAAGTAACACTAGCCCCAGTGGCCATCCCATGGAATGTGGGTGGTTGATTGGCCTGGACCCTGGCCTGGACTCCTGGGGGACACATGAAAGATTTGTCAATTTGGGATGCCACAGCAAACCCTGGGTGGGCTCTTGGTTCCCCCATCCCTCCAGGGTTGGGAAGTTGGGAAAGAATCTCAGTGCACCCTTCATCAATACAGATCACAACCTCACAGTAGCTGAAAAACTCAGCACCCTATGACAAGTGAGCGATGAAACTGTGCGCTTTGGACCTTGAACTAAAGACGTATCCCATCCATCACTGTTTTCTAATTGGGTAGATTCTGCCATGGACTACTCCATATACTACTAGCAAATAGCCTCAGAAAGGTCAAGATGACAGAATGAGGAATCAGAATAAGACTTTTAGTTAAAACCTGTGAAATGTTTTCTTTCTAAAAATGTCTGCATTTTTAAAGTTAACCAATCAGTGATGTCACAATGAAGCGAGCCACTCCCTAAAGCATAGGATAGCAGAAAGATTACAATCACAGAGGCAATCCTTCTAGGCCAGGAGTTCTTGGATCTGAAGCCTATGAACTTGGTTTTTAATATTTTGATAACTATACTTCAATATAATTTGTTTCCTTTGTTATCCTATAATATTTATTTTATGAACTTTAAAAATACTATTGTAAGAAGGGGTCCAGAAGCTTCACTAGATTGCCACAGATTTGAGTCCGTGACATGAAAAAGAATGAAGAGCCCTTGATCCAGTCGAAATGTTAAAAATCACATACTTTATTTATTTTGAATCTGTGGACTAAGGAATAGAACCCCAATTTCCTCCTGGATCGTTACTCCCGTTTGCCTGCTTTCATTTTAACTGCCAATCTTGTAGCTTCTTCACACTGTTTCAGGACCCAGTTTCTGCCTACAGGACCAACCAGCAGTCTTAAACTTACCCCCAAGTTTTCACTGGTCTACTAACCTCGCCTCCAGATGCCTCTTCTGATACCTCTTCATGCTATGAAGGTGACTGTGGGTTCTCAATGGTAATGCCAATCAACAAGCATTTATTAAGCACTTACTCCACACCAGGCTCTGGCCTAGAGACAGGAAGACAAAAATGAAACAGTACCTAACCTTAAGGAGGTTACATTCTCCTACTAAGCTGGAAAAACTGACTCATCTCACTCACCTCTCTAGGTTTCGGGTATAGGTATATAGGTTATAGGTACAGGGACTGGTTGGGCTTATTAATCTTTAACGACCCTTTCAGCTCTAGACGTTACAACATTGTAAAATGGTTCCAATGACACTATTTCTGAGGAAGTTGTCCAAGATCCAACCAAACTGCTTAAGTTCAGAGGGGCTCATCACCAGCTTGGCTGCCCAGGTGATGAACTTTTCAGCCACTGCAATTCTCAAAGACTCATTTAGAGAGGGGCTATGATCATAAGCTATTACTATTTTACAGTGTTATTTCTTGGGGCACACTTGGAGTGGCAGCTTCCATATGAACATCATCTCTGACTTTCCCACCTTTTGGGTTCCCCACAACCTATTTCACTCAGCCTAAAGATGGTCTTTTTTTTTTTTTTACATTAGTCACTTATTGAATCATCTACTACTGATGAACAGTTCCCCAGTTCAAGGTCCTGAGTATATATTGCTATATGTACTCATTTAGGAAGGACTACAATCACAAAACCCAGCCCTGCCTAATTGGGAAATTCAAGGATAGAAGTCTTAATGGGCCATTCTTCCCACATCTATCCTCATTAAGGATCAGAGGCCCATGAGAGAGGCCAAGATATTGGCAACTTAGAACGTAAGACTGAATATTACCTTCCTCTACTCTACACACACACACACAAACACACTGGGCTGAAGAATGGAAATGATCACTGCTCACATTCCCAAATCTCTTCTCCATCCCTTCTCTCATGTCATGGTCCTGACAGCTCTGTGAAGTAAGAACAGCGATTATCATCCCCATTTTACAGATAAGAAAACTAAGCCCCAATCAAAGGCATGGATATGGTAGGTGGCAAAGTTTGGACATGAATGCTACTCTTCTGATTACAAGTCCAGTGCTTTTAGAAGGTAAGATATGGAAAAAGACACCTATGAGCCTGGGTGTAGGCAAACACCTGCATGCACACACATGATTCCTGTAGCTCCTTCCTGTAGCAGTAGTGATCTAGCTGGAAATAATTTGGGGTTCTATCCTTTATGCCACAGGTTTAAAAATAAAAGCATATGGACTTCAGACACTTAGACTAGAGCTTTTGTTGTTCAGTTGTTTAGTCATGTCGGACCCTTCATGACCTCATTTGGGGTTTTCTTGGCAAAGATACTGTAGTAGTTTGCGAGATCCTTTCCCAATAGACTAGAGTAGGGGCTCTTAAATCTTCTGTGGGGCAGCTAGGTGGCACAGTGGATAGAGCACCAGCTCTAAATTCAAGAGGACCTGAGTTCAAATCCAGCCTCAGACACATAACACTTACTAGCTGTGTGACCCTGGGCAAGTCACTTAACCCTATCGCCTAACCAAAAAAAAAAAAAAGATCTTTTGTATTTCTTGCACTCCAAGAAGGTCAAGTATAAATGTGGTATGCTGATATATTATATATGATATATTTTCTAAATTGGATTTACACACTGCTCCCCCAAATTCTTTTTCTGATGTCTCACTATGGTGTGGAAATGACCTTGGGTCTTCAAAGACAATGCCAGGCGAGGGCAAATTCTGGCAGGGACCATTAAGATGGATAGTCTTTCAACTTGGGCCTGATAACAGACTCTATATTTGCTGTCTGAGTACCAGCCTAGCAATTCCTAGGCAGGCTCATCACCAGACTGGCTACAGTATAATGAATTTGGGCTTGGAATGACTCTCAAACACAGTCTATTAAGTTGCACTATGAGTATACATGCAAAAAAAAATGTACAGATAATAATGACAATTACATAGCACTTTGTAGACTGCTTTTACTTTATTTTCACAACAACCTTGGAAGGTGGGTGCTTTCCTCATTTAGAGAGGAAGAAACTTGCCCATGGTTACACAGCTAATAAGTGTCTGAGGCTGGATTTGAACTCAGGTCTTCCTGACTCCAAGCCTAGCACTGTACCACCTAGCTGCTTATTTGCATTACCTCCCTCTCAGTGGAGGAAATTGTATTTACATAGACTCAGGTCTTCATTCCTCCACCAACACACTATCCACTGTGTCACCTAGCTGCCTGCAGACCTCTGGAATATTGAAGAAAATTGAATTTTTGAAAATTGGATCTAATAAAATTTCACTGGAATTCAGCATTTGGAAGAAAGTCTGTGAACCATTTTTTAAAGTGAAGAATCTTTCTATAAAGAGAATGCCTCCCTCTTTTATATGATTTGTAGGTTTGGAGTCTAAAATGAGGGGAGTTGGATTAGATGAGCTTTTGGGTCCTTTCCCACTCAAAATTTATAATCTCATGATTGCCAGGCATCCAGGTTTGCTCAAAGAAAGGCACACCTGTAAAATTTTTAAATTTCAATGGAAAAAGCAAGAAGGCATATGCCTTAAGAGTGTCCTGAATCCAGAAACCGGGGAGAGCACAGCTGAATATACTCAGGTGAGTGAGCTTCAGGAAACCTGGGTCCTGGTTCTGCCACCAAAAACTCATTACATGACCTTGTGCTGGTTCTTTCCCTTCCCTGGGCCTCGATTTCCCAATCCATAAAAAATGTTCTCTAAAGGCCTTTCCAGCTCAAGCTTTATGAGTCTATGAAAGGCATGACCTCCCCCTCTAATCCATGAAATACCGAGATAGCTGTTACCTACTTTCCCTCAGCCATTAGGGGTACGGAGAGGCAGCCTGGAGGAGGGCCAGGTCGAGGGAAGTGGTTGGGGGTTGGCCGCCTCTGGAACTGCCTCCACTTCCGTCCTCCTCCCAAAACAAATAAACCTGACCTCCCCCCGCCCCTTCTTTGCAGAGAGAGAGAGAGAGACAGAGAGACAGAGAGAGGAGAGAGGGGGGAGAGAGACAAAGACAAGCAGACAGACGGAGAGACAGACAGGCAGACAGACAGAGAGACAGAGACCCTTCTCAGGCGTCCTCCGGGTCCAGGGGAGGGCCCAGGGGCGGGCCCAGGAGGAGGCGGAACCGCATCTTTGCAATCTACACGCACCCCTAGTCCTCCGCCTTCCTCCAGGCTGCAGCTGATCCCGGGTCAGATACTCCCTCTGGTGGCCTCAGGGTCCCCGCTCCCTACCCGGTGCAGTCAGGGCTGGGACTCCGCACTGACAGTCACCCCGATCTCACCCTCCTGTCCTGGGCCTGCGCCGATGCTCCTGTAGCTGCTGCCTTCATCTCCGACCCTCCCCCCTTACAGCAGCTCCTATTCCCACGCCTGTCCCTATCTCCCCCGCCCCCATCCCCCCAGCCTCCTGAGCTCTTACCTCCCCCAGCCCCATTCCCATCCCCCAGCCGCACCAGCCTCCCGGTAGTCCTCCGCTATCACCCCAGCTTTCTGCATCTCCTACTCCCTTAGCCTTCGATCCCCACTTCTGCCTCCTGCAGTTCCTCTCTTCCCCATCCCACCCCGCCGTTAGCCTCCCACAGTTCCTACCTTCCTTTCCCACTCTTCACCCCACCCCACCCCACTCCACCCCCACCTTCGCTCCTCGGCCCCCACCGCCACCCTGTACCCTCCTATCCTCAGTACAAACCCCAACCAATTTTCTCCCCTGCTCCACCCCTCCTTATCTCATCTCGGCAGGGTTCCCAGCTTTCCACCTCCCCTCCCGGAGCTGGAACCCAAGCCGAGGTGGCAGGGGACGCTGGACAGAGAGACAGACTGACAATCTTGGACACGGGACTGGGCCTGGCACTGGCGCGGAGGGCGGGGTTAGACAGCGGCAGCGACTAGAAGAACTGCAGCAGGTGCTGAGCTTAAGGGGAGGGGGAAAGGAGGAGGCCCTGAGCTGGAAGGGGCGGGCGCTGAGCTGGGGTGGTGGTTGGAGAAGAGAGGGAGGAAGAGGTTGGAGTCCCCCGACCCTGTGGAGAGAGGCACGAACGCAACCAGAGGGCTTCCGGGGAAGGAGGCAGAGGAGGTGGGGCTGGGACTGGTGGGAAGGGGAGAAGATAGAGAGTTAAGGCTGCAGGAGGCCGGGCCTGCGCTATGGGATGGGGAGAGTGGCCAGGGTCAGTAGGTAAGGGGACAGGTTCAGTGAGTGAGGCTGGGGGTTATTGATGTGAAACAATGGAGAGGCTCAGGAGATGACTGGGGCAAGGGCAGCGTGTGGGAGGTGACTGATGGCCATACCATCAGGAAGTGAGGAAGTGAGCAAGGGGCCATAGGAGCCAGAGGTAAGGAAGGTGGGGAATTGCCTGTCAGACTACATGACTGCCTTCCAACCCTGACTTGGGGTGGAGGGGGTGACAAGCTCGGAAGGTGGGTCTGGGTTAGGCCACAAATAGCAAGCTTCCCCCCATGGGGGAAGCCTAGGGGGGGCCTAAGCCATGCTGTCCCGCAAGGGAATCATCCCTGAGGAATATGTACTGACTCGGCTAGCAGAGGATCCCACGGAACCCAGGTACCATGCCCGGGAGAGGAGAGCCCGCTTTGTGGCCAAGAATGGCAACTGCAATGTAGCCCACAAGAACATTCGGGAGCAGGGCCGCTTCCTTCAGGACGTCTTCACCACCCTGGTGGACCTCAAGTGGCACCACACGCTGCTCATCTTCACCATGTCCTTCCTCTGCAGCTGGCTACTCTTTGCCATGGCCTGGTGGCTCATTGCTTTTGCTCATGGTGACCTGGACCACAACACCAGAATTGAAACTGGGGAGAATGATGCCACCTTCATACCCTGCGTCACCAGCATCCACTCCTTCGCTTCTGCTTTCCTTTTCTCCATCGAGGTGCAGGTGACAATTGGCTTCGGGGGTCGCATGGTGACTGAGGAATGTCCACTGGCTGTCCTGGTGCTGATCGTGCAGAACATCGTTGGGCTCATGGTCAATGCCATCATGTTGGGCTGCATCTTCATGAAGACGGCCCAAGCCCACCGCCGGGCGGAGACACTCATCTTCAGCAAGCACGCGGTCATTGCCTTGCGCCACGGCCGCCTCTGCTTCATGCTCCGTGTGGGTGACCTCCGGAAGAGTATGATCATCAGTGCCACCATCCGCATGCAGGTGGTCCGGAAGACCACAAGCCCTGAAGGTGAGGTTGTACCCTTGCACCAGATGGACATCCCTATGGAGAATGGTGTGGGTGGCAACAGTATCTTCCTGGTGGCTCCACTTATCATCTACCATGTCATTGATGCCAACAGTCCGCTGTATGACCTTGCCCCCAGTGACCTGCACCACCATCAGGACCTGGAAGTCATTGTGATATTGGAAGGTGTGGTGGAGACCACAGGCATCACTACGCAGGCCCGAACCTCTTACCTTGCGGATGAGATCCTCTGGGGCCAGCGCTTTGTTCCCATCGTGGCCGAGGAGGATGGCCGCTACTCAGTGGACTACTCTAAGTTTGGCAATACTGTCAAGGTGCCCACACCTACCTGTACTGCCCGCCAGCTGGAGGAGGACCGAACTCTCCTAGATTCCCTCCCTCTCACCTCTCCCAAAGGGCCCCTCCGAAAGAGGAGTGTGGCTTCAGTCAAGCCCAAAGCCAAGCCCAAGTTCAGCATTTCCCTCGATGCCTTGTCCTGAGGCCTGCCTTCACTATGTGGGCCAGCTCAAACTCCCCAGGCTTTCCTACCTCCCAACACTCCCATATTTGAGTCCTTAGGGTAGAGACCTGATCCATCAACCCTGCATGAAGGAGGGGGGAATGGCCTTTGGTCCAGCAGGGCCCTCTGTTTATTTACTGAGCTGCTAGGAGCTGGCAATGATTTCAGGGCTTCAGTGTCTTCTGACTATTGCTCAGGGGTGTTATGGGGTATTTATCACTGAGCTATTTATGGGCTCACCAGGTCTCAGCTGCATGCAGCTATTTTTGTCTCTGCTCTTCCAAGCACTAACACAGGACTGGCTCAGGCCCCCTCAGGAGGCAAAGGAGACCTAGCCTGGGTTGGGGGAAGGGAGATTTGGGACAAATGCCCCAGTCTGAGAGGTAGGATCCAGAGTCCAATATAACAACACTGACCTGTGAGCCAGCAATCAGCCCAGTCTTGGGGCAGGCGGGTGCAGCTTCCAAAATACCATCTTATCTGTCCCTCCAATATCTCTTCCCCCAGCACCACCACCCCCAACTGAGATTGCATAACCTTTCTTTCTCTGTCCCCACAATTTCCCATCTCTGGGGGAAGTAGGGCCCTGGGCCAACTGCAGAATGGGAGCCATGGTGGAGGTGAGCCAAGCAAGGAAGGGAAGGATGAAAGTCTCTCGATAGAGTCCAGGGCCAGACAGCCATAGCCTCCTCCATCAATACTCTCTCTCCCAAAACCTGCTGATGGTACTTGACTCTGGGGATAAAAGATTAACTTTGGGAGGAGGGTTCCAGGGTTTCTGAGGACAAGAAGAGCTTGTCACTGCGCTGTCCGACATACTACCACATAAGGGACCCTAGGTATGAGGCGGAGGGGAAGCATGTGGGAAAACAGTCTCCCCAAGCGCAGTTGCAATGGGTGCTGGGTGCTACAGGAGAAGGGAGTACATAATGGCTTGGGAGCAGGGGAGGGGAGTGTATTTCTATAGGCATTTGATGACTCGGGATAAGCATCAGTCTTCAAGTTGGAGTGAAGTATGATCCTGAGCAATCTTCAGTCTGGATGCTGTTACCATGAATAGGGAATGTGCTGAACAGGGATCAGACTATGCTGTATATGCTTTCCCAGAACTGTGCCATCTCTGGTCTGGAAATAAAACCTCCCCCTCCTATATCCTGAACTCCTGTGTGGTTCTTACCTTCAATGGCAGACATATCAGGGCAGAGAAGGTGTTGGTTTTAGGGCAGCAGTTGGCCCATAATGTTACAGGACTGCTTGCTGATTGGTGAACTACTTGCTGGAGAAGGGAGGACTGAGAAATAGCAAGGTGAGGAAAGAGGCAGGGAACTGTCCCAGGTTTGAGGGTGGGGGGAGGCTTTTCTTCTTCCCCTGACTAAAGAAAGCCAAGGACACTAGACTTCAGCAGAGAGGCCAAAACACAAGCATGCTAAATTGCCAAATAAACCCTTAGTTTCTGTGTCATCTGGGGCAAGGCCTTGTTCCCCAGCCTCAAACCCAGCTCCAAAAAACTAGGGTCTAGGTCCGTGTTGGGCCTCCCAGAGCAGAGGAGTGACCGCCAATCCCACCCTTTTTTTCACTGAACCCGTGTCCCAGGGCCAACTTCATACCCTGCCTGTCAAGAGATCTGAGTTCTGATCCTGGTTTTGCCACTGACTCTGACCTTGAGAAAGTAATTTCTCCTTCCTGGTTGAGTTTCTCAATTCCACATCTATCTTCAAAATGAAGAAGCTGAAGGCTTGGATTCAGGTCCCACCTCTGTGACCCTGGGTAAGTCCCTTCCTCTCTCTGAGCTTTGGTTTCCCCATTTGAAAAAAGAGGGGTGAGAACCTCTAAGGTTCCTTCCAGCTCCAACATCATAGGATTCTAATTAAAGTTCCCCCTGCCTGTCAGTTTGTCCCAGTCCTTCTCTTGGGTTCTGGTCCCACCCCCAGGGATTAAGAGAAGGAGGATTGCTCCAAGGTCTGGAGAAGAAAGGAGCTCTGGCCATCCATGGGTCTGAGCAAGAGAGCAGAGAGTTTATTGTGGAGTGGAAGAGGGAGGAAAGAAGGAAGAAGCTAGTGTGACATACTGACAGGGTAGAGATTTATTCACTTCTATCAATCTCATCTCTATTCCCACTGTTGCAGTAGCCTTACAGGGTCAACTCCCTTAACTGGGTAGCTGACACCCATTGCCAGATGGACCTTCCTAATTCATGACTTTGAATACAACATTCTCCTACTCATAAACCTTTAAATGCTCCCCTTACTAACAAGAGGAAGCACCAAACCTCCAAATGCCATCCAAGGTCCTACAACGTTTAGGATCCATCTCCTTTCCAGACCAAGCTGGACTCTTCATTATTTCCTATCAACTCTGAATGTTACTGCCTCCACATCTTTGGGAACATCATTCCTTCTACCGGAATTGCCTTTCCCCAACATCTCTGGGTAAGGCACAACTAAAATGCCATCTCCTATTTGTTTATTGAATTGACTATCTAAAGTCCCATGATCTTCCATGTTTATTTTTAATTGAAATAAGTTTTATTGATATCTTTCACTTTTACATCACCTATATTCCCCTTTGTATCCTCCCTCTCCCTCCCTTATAACAGAAAAATCTTTTAAAAGAGGAACAACATGTAAAAACAAATTTGGCATCATATGCAGTGTTCCACACCCAGTCCCACATCTCTGCAAAGAATGGGGGAAATACAGTCTCATATCTCTTCTTTGAGACCAAACTTAGTTATTTAAATTTCATAGCATTCTGTTTCAATTGCTTTGTTGTCATTGTTCTTTCCATTAAATTATTGTAGCCATTGTATATATTGTTTTCCTGGGTTTACTTACTTCTCTTTGAATCAGTTCATATAAATTTTCCCATGCTTCTCTGTATTCATCATACCCATTTCTTACAGCACAGTAACATTCTATTACACTATAATTTTCCTTAGCCATTCCCTAATTAATATGGATCTACTTTGTTTTTAAATCTTTACTACTGAAGAAAAAAAAAAAGCTGCTCCTAACGTGTTGATAAATGTGAGGTCTTTCTTTTTGCTATTAACCACCTTGGGGAATATGCCCAACAGTGAAACCTGGCACACTTTCTTACTCTGATTCCAAATTTATCTGTTTCTTCTTAACTGGCTATGATCTCTTTCTTTTCTGGGTTCACATAGCTCCTTGTTGGCACCTCAGGCAACATGGTGTAATGGAAAAAGTTCTGGAAGTCAAAAGACCTGGGCTCAAATCCTGGCCCTGCCCACTTACTAACCAGATAACCATGGAGAAGTCATTTAGCCTCCCTACTCTTCAGTTGCCTCTATAAAATGAGGTAGGAGGGACAAGACACTTCTGAGGTCCCTTCTAATTCTGGGTTGCAACAAACATTTATTAATGCCTACTGTATGCAAGGCACTGTGCTAAATTCTAGGGATATAAAGATTTTTCTAGTGATCTGCATCCTCAAGGAGCTTACATTGCAGCTGGAAGGGGTGGGTTGGGGTAGTGTGGACATGAACACAGATAAGTTATCATTGCTTTTAGCAGTAGTATCCTGTATAGACTATGCAAGCCTAAGTCTGAGGAAACAGGATGATAGGATCTTAGAGAATTAACTCAAGAATCAAACTCAATAACATTTACCAGCTCTTGGCTACATACAGGAATCCATCTATACACAGAAATCTTATCTATGTACAGAAAGCTAAGAATCCCACAGTTTTTAGCCCATCTATTCCCAACCCCTATAAACATTAATTTAACTGTTTGGACTTGAAATGTGAGATCTTTGCCCAATGACAAACAAGTTGACACTCTACCTCTTGAAATTACTTTGTGTTAATTTGTATATACTTTATCCTTACTTTTGTACATGTTCTCTCTGTCCCATCCCTCTCCTCTAAAACAATAAGACCCTCCCAATTAAACCTTGTGGTTTTCAGTGCTAAAGTAGGCATAGAGAAGTATGATTTTTTAAAATGTTGAAAAATATGGCTTGAGAGTAAATAATAAGAGGCCAGTTGACTATAGACAACACAGAAGTTTCTGACCTATTTAAACAAGTTTATTGAATTAATAATGGGAAATGGATAAAAGAACAAACACCAATAAACTATCATTATTTCCTAAGAAAATTTAATCAATGTAAATAACTGTCTACAACCTGGAGATCAAAAGAGCCTAGAAACTACCTCAATCAGCAAACACTTGATCTCCCTAACAAATGGATAGATATTGAAACCAGGGACAATATCAATTTATAATAAAGATGTGTTTGTAAAATACCACAAAGGATAGACAATTATGAGTAACACGATCTCAAAAACACTTTAAGGAACAGTGAAGAAAAACCAGATTTACAGTAAATTTAGCAAGAGATCAAATTAAGCCAGATCACCTTGAGAGTATTTAGGGTTGACAGTGGGAGGATAATAAACAGTTAAGTCAAGATTTCCATAACAAACTGTTTCATTCATCAGTGACACTGGAGCTAGTACATTTGTGCTCTTTCCTGATATACAGCATTAATAAGTAGACATGGAACTCAAGAAAACAAAGATGGGAGAAGGAACTGAACTGAATCAAGAAGAGCTCCATGCTGGTAGAGGCATAATTATGAAAATACTGACAGACTGATTCTCAAGATCTGAAAGAGGAGAGGATATCAAATGCCTAGAAATATCACAGACTTTATATGACCCCCAAAAAAAGTAAATAGAAATAGAAATCACTACTAACAAAATGCCTGCTTTTTCAGAGGAGAAGGGCCCATATCTACAAAAATATTTTTAGCATCTCTTTTTGTAGTGGCAAAGAATTGGAAACTGAACATAAATTGAGGCATGACTGAACAAGTTATGGTCAATGTGGTAGAATACCATTGTGCTGTAAGAAATGATGAAGGGGACAGTTTCAGAAAACCCTGAGAAGACTAGTATAACCCAATACAGATGGAAGTGAGCAGAATCAGGAAAACAATTTATACAATAACCATGTTGTAAATATTTTCTCATCTCTACAAAATCTTTATGGAAATAATTTGCATACATGTCAATGGTATCTTTGATGGAGGCAGGAGAACAGAAGAGTCAGACTTGTGCAAATGTTAAGTATGTTGTCTCTTCAGGTCCCTTTTCCTAAGGAGCAGTTAGTGACGAAAAAGTCAAAATAAGTGTTTTTATATAAAGGAGAAGATAAATATTAATTTTCAAAGAGAGTGTGGTATGTTGCCACTGTTTTAGATAAATATTTAAATGTCTGATACAAGTAGAAAAATATCTTTGTTTTAATATGCACTGCTAAAAATATGCATCGAATAAACAAAGCTTTCAGGTGGGATTTGGGAGGTTTAGCAGTAATGATCTATAGTGTAGAAGTGACCGTCCAGAACTTGTCAACATTATGGATAGTTGCCTCACTTGTGTGGGAATGGTTCAGTATGGTAAAAAGGCAAAAAAAAAAGTATTTTATTATTAGAAACTAAAAAAGGAGGGTGTGGAGAAATACAATTTCAAGGGTGGCTATGAACCAGGAAATCCAATATTGTTCAGCCTCAGCACAATTAGAGTTAAGTTCCCTCTCTCGCGCCCTTCATTCCTTATTCCTTAGTAGGCATTTCAGAGGACACCGTTATTTCAGTGATCCACACTAGTCCACTGTCTCACCCCACTGGTGACAGGGCAGTTCCCTATTAGAGCCATGTCAATTTTTTATCTGGAAACTCTTAATCCCTGAGTGGCTGTGGGTCTTCATTCAGAGCGTGCATCCTGCTCCACATCCTACCATGCGCTGCCCATGGAATTGAAAGGATAACAGCGGCTGTACAGCCATTCTGTGCCCTATTGTCGTCTGGTCTCCTATAACTGCTACCCATTGAGTAGCAGCCCCGTAATGCCAAAGAGATGCGTTACCATTTTGAGAAAGTCAGAGAGCTGCAAAGCATAATGGCATGATGTCAGCTTATTTGCAAGAACATGTTTTATGACTAAAGAGAGTAAAACAAAGAAAATGAGAAAATTGGGAGTTTGAGGTATGATTGGGAAAAGGGCTGCCGCTTTGATAAGATAAATTAGGAGTGTTGTGATTTTTTTAAGTAACGACTGAACTTTTAAAAAGCTACTCTGTTGAAACTGGGGCAGTTAGAATCAGTCCACTAAAAGACTTCAGCGGA